GGATGGATGGATGGATGGATGGATGAATGACATTTAAATCTCACATCTTTATATGTACAATTATTTTTTTTTTAATATATCAATAGCATTTATGGACTTTGAAACATATTTCCCAATAAGCTCCTTCTTAATCACTTTTTTAAACTGGTTTATATTTGAACTTTTTTGAACTCATCATTCAATCCATTCCATAAATCTACTCCACACATGGATAAACAAAAACTCTTTTTGGTTGTTCTCATACATTGTTTTTTAAAATGTCCTTCTCCTTTTAAATTAAAACCCCCCTATGTCACAAAACATTTTTTGTATATTGTGTAGAAGTTGACGGTTTCTTACTTTAAACATGAATTGTAAAGTTTTGAATGTTATAAGGTCCCCCAGAATTTCAGTTTATTTGATTTAATAAGAATGTAAGAAAACATTTTTATTTTATAAAAGTTACATGCTGCAGCTTTAATCGGAGGTTGGAAAAGTTCTGGTCTGGTTGAGAGAATGTAAAGTTTCTGTTCAGGTTTTTATGAGGTTTTTGCTCCCAGGCTGCTGTTCCTCTCCAGTCCAGCAGGTGGCGGTAAATCTGCTGCGTTGTGTCTCTGTGACACTCAGCAGAAGTAAAGCGACTCCATCAGCATCTCCAGTGGATTCAGTTAGAAAACGGTTGTCTTCGTGTTTCAGCTGAATATCTCAGTAACAATGTCTTCCGTTCAGCAGCTGAGAGATTTTATCAGAGAGAGACTAACTGCTGCTGCGGAAGAAATCTTCATTCAGGTAGAAAAAACCATCGTCCGCTCCGAGGAGGACATTAAACTGCTGGAAACCTGCTGGAAACCTCAGATAAAACTCACCAGAATCGGTAGGAAGCAACGCTAGGCTCCGAAAATTAATACATGTTCTTTTCTTCTTCTGCTTTGCCTTTGTTATGGTAACTGTCGGCCTTTCTACATTCAGTTCGTGATATTTAAACAATTAAAGATTCATAGTTTTGTGTTTGTTTAGGTTTTTACATGAACCAACCTTTAAAGAGACCCAGTTTGAAAACTGCTAAACTTAAACACTTCTAACCTGGACAGTTATTCTTCACTCCGGACAAAGAAAACACAGAGTTTGATGTCTAAGATGGTTATCGGCCTGTGAAAAGTTACATCTTAGTCATCAGTTGTTATTCAGAATCTAATTAATTTTGTGAATAATAATTTTTTCTCAAAGCTAAATTAAATGTTGTTGCAGCTCATATCTTCCAAGTATCTTCAGAGAATCACGGATGGTGATGCTGTGGGCCTTTAATTAACCCTTTGCTGCCCAAAATGGGATAATCCTGCTTTACTGCTTTATGGATTCTCAGATCTACGGATTAACGGCTGATTCTATGAAACTTGGCCAGGACCGTTTTTATTATTTTACTTTTAAAAAGCATTTCTCCTTTTGTTCTTCTGTCTCATTTTGGTCCCATTGACTCCCAACCTACTTTAAGCTAGCACCAAAGTTACAGAGTGTTACCATGGCAACCAGTAGACTACAGATCCAAACATAAGTCATTGGAACCTGAAGCTTCATGAATGTTTCACCATTAACAATGAAACATTTCTTGCTGGAATCCTGGATCCTCTGGATGCTCAGGAAGTATCCAGAGGACCGGACCAGGCTGTCTGGGTCAGAACCAACACCAGTCCTGGAGACGGTTGTCATGGTAATCAGCTCCTGTGTCTCTTTGTTGCTACAGATCAGCCAAAGCTGCATGTCGACAACAAGGAGGTTCTGACCGACCCAGAGCTCCAGAACCAGCAGAGGAGCTCCAGTCTAGACCAGGAGGAACCAGCGATTAGACCGAACCAGGAGGAACCAGAACCTACAGAGATTAGACCGAACCAGGAGGAACTAGAATCTCCAGAGATTAGACCGAACCAGGAGGAACCAGAACCTCCAGAGATTAGACCGAACCAGGAGGAACCAGAGTTTGGAAGAGTGGTGATCGGGTTCCAAGAGGAGACCAGACTGCTGGGTATCTGCTGGCTTCCCCATGTTCTTCTCACCAGAACCGGTATGGATCTGACCAAATCTCATAAATGATCCTATTGAAGTGAAACTTGATGTAATGAGCTGCTCTAGCTGCCGGTTCGGTCCATTGATGTGACATGGAAGCAGGCTGGGTCCAAATAGGACGAAGTGATCCGGAACCGTTTTCAGTAAACCAGGAAGTAAAGTCTGGATTCGAACTAAAGGTTTTGGTAGCACTTTATGATCACCATGCTTTATGTAGCCTCATTTAGCCATTAATAAATATGTAATTAATGTTGAAAACATTGTTATTCAATGATTCATGCTTAATAAGCTATAAATTAACAGAGTAATTAATGCTTTACCCATATTGACTAATTACTCCTAATACCAATGTACTCGGTGTTTATTAATGCTTAATAACTCATGAATTAACTACTCTTTTCTGTTTGTAAATGTTAGTGAATGCTCAAATAAATGTACTTAGAGTATATTTAATTTACTGCCTGCTGATCCTGCACTGCATCCATAAATGAGGCAGTTTGTTAATAGTTTGTTCATCTTTGTGTGAACTCTTCAAAAGTAAAGACTATTTATGATTTTTTTAAAGATTTTATTAATGCAGACAAAACCCTGAATGGCCACAAGTTGCTTTTCACCTGTGGAACGAGACCAGAAGCCAGGAGACGTGGAATACAGAAATATTTAAGAATTGACATTTTGAAAGGTCAACGAAACATAATCTCAGTTAGTTACAGTAATTTGACCTAAAACTGGATCAAACAGTCGACTGTACAAAACACGCAGCAGAAGATCTGCATAAAATGTTCAGCAAACTGGATCATGAAAGGGTTAATGAACAGCAGGTCACTAAAAATGATCTTAACAAATATGAGGGAATGTGGAGGAAAATAATCTGAGGCTTTTTTTCTCCTGTCTGATAATGAAAAGATAAAATAAGATGAATTAAAAGGAGTTTCCCCTAAAGAACTGGAACATGAAGTTACCAGGCAGAGAACAAAACCTGAAAGAACGAGAAGCAGCAGACATTCAGAGTCTGTTCAGTCCAAATCTAATCCAGTTTAATCCCAACGAGTCAAAAGTGAATTGAATTGTGAGGCTCTTACCAAAACTCAGCCAATCAGATCAAGGTGGTCACAGGTCTGACCAATCAGCTCTCTGGAGCTGTAACGTCCTCGTCTTTCCCCTCCAACAGAAACGCTGCAAAATATTAAATAAACTTTGTTCTCAGGTCGAAGCAGCTGATATAAAACACAAAGAAACTGAACCTGCTGGTGTTTCCAGGAACACAGCTGATGGGTTTGTTCCTGTTTGTCCTTCCAGACGTCCCAAAGCAGCACGTCTGCAGGACGGAGGAGGTTCTGAACCAGGAGGAACCAGAACCAGTTGAAGACGAACTCTCTGATGCAGAACATTTCCCGTCTGAAGAGGACCAGGAAAACCAAGAAGGTCCACTGATGAACGAGGATCTGGAGGGTCTGGAGCCAAACCAGAGGGAACCAGAACCAGGACCGCCACATCAGGAGAGCGGGCCTGAAGAACCGCAGCTGCAGGAGGTGGAGATCTGCAGCGGCCAGCAGCTGCCACCGGACTGTGACGCCTTCATGAAACCTCTGTCAGATGAAGAGTGTGAGCTGGAACCAGACATGGATCAGAACCTCCCTGGTTCTGATCAGGACAGTTTTAACTCAGGTTTTAAATCAGATCCTCATCAGATCAAAGAGGATCTGGAACAAAAACTTCAGGGAACAAAAACACAAAAACGTCTTCCAGCAAAGTCGGCCCACAAATCTCAAAAGAAAGTCAGAAAGAAAGAAAATGTCATTTTTTGTACGACATGTGGGAAAAGGTATTATTATGTAAAATCTCTAGTGACGCACATGAGAACCCACGTTGTGAAGCTGCACTCATGTGAAACCTGCGGGAACGAGTTTAGTTCTGCAGAGGCCCTGAGCAGCCACATGACGGAGCACAGCCTAGACAAGCTCCACTCCTGTGAAACATGCGGGGAACGGTTCTATCGGGAATCTTCTCTACTGACGCACATAAGAGACCACAGCGATGAGACGTCCCACCCATGTGAAGTATGTGGGAAAAGATGTTTGACTGGGAAAGCTCTGCTGGTCCACATGAGAAGCCACGGTGCTGAGAAGTCCTGCTAATGTGAAGCCTGTGAGAAAAGGTTCATCTCATGCTCTGGTTTACAGACTCAGCTGAGAAACTCCACTCATGTGACGTTTGTGGGAAAACCTTTCCCTCAGCCACATGTTGGTCCCTCAAAGCAGCAGAATGAGGGACTCAGTACTAAAGTCCAATCCTCATATCAGAGCTAACTCAGCCATTCACTCATATTCCTGTTCGTCTGAACTGTGTTGTTAAACCAAGGACAGACAGAAAGGTCCATAAAACTCCACAACTGAGAATAAATAAAGCTCCACTAAGATGCATGAGAAGCTTCATGTATGTGAAACGTGGCATAAAATGTAAACTCTAATGAAACTGTGCAGAAATACGACTCATGATATTTGTGATAATTCTCTGACGGCGGAGCGTAAATGAAGCATTCACAGCAAACATGGAGAAGTTCCTGAATATTTACTTGGTTCATCCTAAACCTCAGATTGTTCTGCTGGATCAGTTGTTACAGAATATTTTCAGAGTTTCTCTTTATTCAAACACAAGTGACATCACAAAGGTCAAAGGTCTTTAGAAGTTAAGCAGTGGATGTTTCAGGGTTTGTTTTTCACGATGAACAAACGAGTCAGAATGTTTCAGTTCTTCTGACCTGTGGTGAACTTGACCCTCTGCTCCTCATGGCTTTATTTTCTGTTTAGATTATTTAGATTTGGTTGTTTTTATGTTTCTGTTATGACTGCTGGTTTGTAGTTTTAGTCTGCAGCTCTTTGTTTGCAGTAGTTTGTTTCTGACCTGTTGGTCAAACGGTCATGAAGAATCTTTGACCGTTTCCATGTCAATGATTTTTATTTCTTAAATCTTTAACTGGATTGGATTTTATTAGTTATTTTCAATAATAATTTGATACTGTTTGGAAAATAAAATAATATTGACAATTTAAAAGGTCTCTGTAAATTCAGTTGTGATTTAAAAGGTTCTGATCTGTGGACGCCGTCAATGTTTAGATGTGTTTTATGAATAAGTTATTAAATATTTTCTGAAACTCATTTTTCTGTCTCTGTTTTAAGGAGGGATGGAATATAAATATCTAGAGATCCATAAATAAAGCTGGAGAACTTTCAACCTTTTGGGTTTGGTTTGGTGCAGTTCTGGTCCGGTCCTGACTGACCCGGTGGAACCGAGTCCAGTTTGCAGCCGGTCTCACTCTGACACGCCTTCAGGTTTACCCTCAGCTTCTCGGGTCGGGACAGACTGTCCGGACCTGAACTCTGCTGTCCTGCGGTACCGGTACCGGTACCGCGGCTGTGAGCTGAGGGATATTTTCCGTTTGGACGTCCAGCCTGTCTTTAGATGTTCCTTCAGTATTTCTACATGAAGTTCTTTCCTCATGAGTCCATCTAGTTTATGAAGTTCCTCCTGCTGTAAATCAGTCCCCCAGCATGATGCTGCCACCACTATTCTTCACAGTTAGGCTGATGTCCTCGTTTTTACTCCATGTAATGATGGTCATTAAGTCCAAACAGTTCAGTTTCATCAGACTGCAGGACATGAATCTGAAAATGAAGATCTTTGTTCATCTTCAAACTCCAATCTGGTTTTTGATGTTTCTTTTGGAGTGATGGCTTCCTCCTCGCTGAGCGGCCTTTCAGTCCGGGTCGGACAGTCTGGCTGTGGATCATGATGCTGCTTTACCAGCTTCAGCCACAAACTCCACCAGCTCTTTGATTTCCTTTAACTTTCCCATCGTCTCAAAGCAGAAAGCAGCTTGTTTAAGATTTGGCCTTAAATACATCCACAGCTGTGACTCAGTTAACCTGTCAGTTTCCAAATCCATGACATCATCATCTGGGCTGTCCTCGTTATTTAAAGAGACAGTAATCATTCTTTACGAAACGTTCTTCCTCTCATTATTCAGGCATTTAGCAAACAGAAATCATTTTAGTGATTCAAAATGATTTGGGTCTTTTTGTTGGGTGTATGTAAACTTGTGGTTTGACGTGTGTATAAACAGGGTGATGTTCTGGTGGAGGTTCTGATGAGTCCGTGTTTGTTTCATCAACAGGAACCGAGAAGCAGAAAAGGTTCTGATTGATCCAACTTGTTATTCTACAGGTCATATTTTCTCTTCATGTTTTATCGTCATATTTCAGGAAGTTTAGCTTCAGATCTGGGAAAATGTGTCAAAGTTAAAGCTGCTGGATGTCGGGTTTGGTACCAGCACAGAACCTTCAGCTCATCCAAACAGAACCAGAACCTCTGCAGGGTTAACAAGGAAATATTAGTGAATCATTATTTATAAATAAATATGTACTGGTCATAATATTTACATTATTAATGCTTCCAGTTCAAAACAAATTAAATTTAATATTTCACACACAAAAAAAACATTTTGGTTTGACCCAAATGTTTCCAATAAATTCCCATAATAAGAAGTTAGAAAACATTGTGTCCAGATTTATCACTAAAATAAAGGATTAGAGCTGAATCTGCTTTTGTTTCATCAGAAATTACAGAAAACCGTGTGTCTGATATTTTTCTCCATCCTGAATCATAAGATGATCATATGATGACCCTTGATTGTCTCACATCCACAACAGTGACTCACTGAACGAGGCGAGTCTGTGGGAGTAATGAGGAGGAGTGGCCACCAGGGGGCGCAGTGCAGCAGCAGCAGAGACAATGAGAACATAAACACTGTAGAATAATAATCATCATCATCTCTGCTGCTCTACCTGCGCTCCTCACTCACACAATGTGTTATCTACATTTACCATTTACTGATACATTTAAACTTTTTTTTAAATGTATACTTAAATGATTTTAGTGCAACAGTTTATTTAAAGTTTCATTTTTCTGGTTTATTGTGTTGAAACTGTTCTCCGTGCAACATTAGCGCAAATAAAGGGTTTAATTTTATTGTATTAAATAGTTTTCGGATAAATGAAGAGAAAAACTACAGTAAGATGAACGCAGTTTGTGATTTTCGCCAGCAGAGGGCAGCAGAGCAGCAGCTCCAGGTTCAGCAGATTTACATAAAAACAGTTTTTTTGTTTTTAGGGCCAAAGCTGCAATTCTATAATTATATAACATAGAAACTGTTGGTGCTGATACTTTTTTTTCTCTTTTTTGCCAAGAAATTTGGGTTTTTACTCATTTTCTAAAAATGTATTAGTTATGAGCGCTTTCATGAAGTTTTCATAACTTGTTGATATTTAGACAGAATCCAGAGTTGATGTTTTAGTTTAAATCATATTTAAAATAGTTTATGTCATTTTATTGATTCACTATTGCATCTTTTCTTCAATGTGTTAATGTTTTATTCATATTTAAAATCAAATATGATTCATTTTATAACTGGCTCTGAATCAAAGTAAATTAAATTTAAATCATTTTTATTTTTATATTTGTTTTTGAATATTTATTTTGAGAACCTAAAATTATAGGTGAGCTTTAAATATTTTATGATTTCAGGACTATTAGTTATTAGTGATTTGTGATCATTTATTATTTAAAATATTTTTAATTTCTTATAATAAAAATATTTATTTGATGTTTTTATGTTTTTTATTTTATGTTCATAAGCTCTATAAGTTCATCTATTTTTTAAATCATTTTTCAGGTTATTCTCAGTAATAAATAAATAATTTATTTCTCCTTGTTTTCCTTCTTTGTTTTGATGACATCATCACTGGATCATCTCGGATTTCCCGGAACTTTCTCCCCTTGCATCACTTACAGTCAGTCTGGACCACCCGAACCGTTACACCGCACATCCGCAGAATAAACTAGTTCCCACTTTAAAACGGTCCTCCGACCCGGCTAGACCCGGAACCGGTACCGGAGCCCCGCTGCTCTGTCGGAACCACCGGTACTGATGCTTCGAGGCGGGTCAGAGAGCAGAAAGAGGAGCTTTTTAGGCTGTTACGTAGAAGATGAGTGGCGGGAACGTCGTGACGTCAGCGGAAAGAAAAGAAGTCGGAGGGTATAAATGCGTGAAGTTCGGCTGGATGCGGTGATTCAGACAGAGCGGAGGAAACCACCAGCTCAGCGACAACAACAACGATAATAACAGTAATAATCCAGTTATTGATCGGATCCATCGATCAGGTTCTGCTCAGCAAACTTTCCTCTGAAGATTTTAACTTTCTTCTCCAGAAACTTTGAATATTTCTGTTCAGAGGTGAGTTCATCAGCTCCTTATTAAATATTCATAAATCTTATATTTAATCCATAATGTTTCTGTTTGACTCTAAATAAACTGAAACATTTGGACCAGAACATCTCAGCTGTTTGATTAAAGTCACTTTTTACCTCCAGATTTATAATAGAACAGAGTTTTATTGTCTTTATGTTAAATAATGTCTAAGATTTTAAATTAAACCTGATATTAAACCAGAGTCTGATCAGCTGATGAACTTCTTCTTCTATGGTTTTATGTAAATATGATGATTCAGACTGCATTGATATGTGTAAGTAGCTGAGACAACAGAACCCATCAGAACCAAAGATTATATAAACATGTTATGTTGACTTTTATTAAACTACATTCATTTTCTGACATTTCCTAGAGAAAAAATAATACAAATGTTTATTTTTTTCTTTTAAATTTGTTCAAATAAATGCAAAATAAGCAGATATGATTGTTAACATTTTGGATTTATTTTGATAATTTTTGTCTTAAAGGAGATTTTTAATAAAATCTGTATCTGATTGGCTGCAGCTGCTTAGCTGATTATTCCTATTCTTTTGCAGTCAGTGAATGCATCACTTTAAGGTTCTGATGGTAGAAACAGATCCTGGTTCTGATGGAGCCAGCAGTTTGGACCCCACCGGATCATTTTATTCCTTGTTGAAATCTTAACTCTGCTTCCTGTGCAGGCGGCCATGATGGCGGTCATGTTGGCCACGCCCCCAGCGCTCTACGACTTCGACTCCATGCAGCCATGTTTCTTCCTGGGTGGAGACGATGAAGACGTCTTCCCCAGCCAGCTCCAGCCCGGTCCCGGCGAGGACATCTGGAAGAAGTTTGAGCTCCTGCCGACCCCCCCGATGTCCCCCAGCCGGACCCCACCCCGTTCGGACCCGCCGCTGTCTGCCGCAGACCACCTGGAGGCGCTGTCGGACCTGCTGGACGAGGAGCTCCGCCCCTCTGCCGCGCTGCAGTCCTTCATCATCCAGGACTGCATGTGGAGCAGCAGCTTCGCCGCAGCCGCCAAGCTGGAGCGGGCCGTGTCCGAGCGGCTGGAGTGCCTCCGGGCCCGGCAGAACCCGACCGGCACCAGCGGGCTGGCGGCTGGTTCTGATGCACGGGAAGAGACCGGATACCTGCAGGACCTGCAGAGTGTGGCGGCGGCGTGCATCGACCCCTCTGAGGTGCTCCCCTTCACACCGACGGGCCAGAACCAGGAACAGAACCAGAACCAGGACCTGAACCAGGCCCACAACAATAGAGTGGCGATGGAGGTCGGGTCAGAGTTGAGTCTGGAGACACCGCCGCTCAGCAGCAGCAGCGAATCAGGTGAGAATCAGGAGACGTTTGGTTCTGACACAGTGGCGACCCCAGAGGGGGCCCCAGGGGGCCGTGACCCCAGAGGGGGCCCCAGGGGGCCGTGACCCCAGAGGGGGCCCCAGGGGGCCGTGACCCCAGAGTTCAGGTCAGAGAAAGGCTTTCAGAGTCACTTTGTTCTATCAATACATAAATGTAAACCCAATAAACAATACATTCATCCACTTAAAAATAAAATTTCTAAGTCAAATTTAAAAAATCTAAAAAAATATATAAATTTTTTACATAAATATTTATATAAATTTGAGTCCTGTCTGGTCACCGCATGAACATTTTCTGGAGTCTTTCCTTCTGGTCTGATGAAGTTCTGCTTCATCCATGTTGGTTCTGTCTCCACAGAGGAGGAAGAGGAGGATGGTGAGGAAGAAGAGATTGACGTGGTGACGGTGGACAGACGGAGGACGTCCCATCGGTCCCCTCTGGTCCTCAAACGCTCCCTCATCAACATCCAGCAGCACAACTACGCCGCCCCACAGCCTGCTGGGAAACGGCCCAAGCTGACAGAGAGCCCGGCGATGTCGCCGTTGGCAACGGCGGCGAAGCAGCGGTGCGGCGGCCGGCGCTGCTGGAGCCCGCGGTCGGACGACGAGGACGAGGACCGACGCAGGACTCACAACGTGCTGGAGCGGCAGCGGCGCAGCGAGCTGCGGCTCAGCCTGCTGGCGCTCAGGGAGCAGATCCCGGCGCTGGCCGCCAACCCCAAGGCGGCCAAGGTGGCCATCCTGCAGGGGGCGACGGCGTTCATCCAGGAGGCGCGGGCGGATGAGCGCAGGCTGCTGAAGAAGAAGGACGAGCTGACGAAGAGGAGCAGGGAGCTGCAGCGGCGCCTGGAGCGGCTCCAGACGCTACATTAACCGCTAAACGGCTTTTAGCTAGTTTTCATGTTGGAAACGGAGGCGGAGCTTAGAGAGTCAAAATGACTGCAGGACAGAACCGGGTTCTATCAGAACCGCCGGGTCAGAACTTTTATTTATTTACTCTAATTTAACCTAGCTGTGTTTAATTTGACCTCCTTCTGTTGTGAAATGATTTTATTTTTATATTTTATTGAAATCAAACATGTCAAAATAAAAGCCCTGCTTTGTTTGGACCAGAGGTTCTGTTTTGCTTTGACCCGTTTCCTGTGAACCGGGTCGGATTCACTGGAGGAGAATTTCTGATGTCATTCCTGAGGGATGAACTCAGGAATGAATCCGATCCGCTGAGCCACTTTCCTGGAATTTATTCCTCCTATGTTCCGGGTCGATCCGCGGTCCAATCAGACGTTTCCTCTGAGGTCCAGTTGGCCCGGTTCCTGTCATTGTGTCATCCAGGACCGTCTGACCTGGAAGCAGAGGCCCGGTCGGTTCTGGTTCTGTTCCCAGTGAAGTCAGAGGGAAAACTGGGTGAAAGTTCAGCTCCGGTCCGATTAGGGTCCGGATCCGGGAGTCACAGAACCAGGCCGGTTCTGGGTTCCTGGTCCGAAACCCAGAGATAAACTCCAGGAATGAAACAGTTTCCATCATTCAGGGAGAAATTAACCCTTTAACTGCTTTACTGACAGACCTGAGTCATTTTCTTTCAAAATAAAAGCTTCAGCATTATTTATCTCACCAGAACCCATCAGAACCAAAACGGTCCGGTTTGTATTGGGCTGAATTTCCTCCTAAATCTGGACTCTGGCAGAACCGCAGCTTCTTCCTTCCTCCTGCCAAAAACAGTAAAACAGGAAGCGGTGGCGGGCGGGCGGGTTACACACTCTGAGTCAGAACCTCGGTCCGGTCCACTGAGTCACGGTCCGGGTCTCCAGCTGGTTCTGCTGGTCCGGATCCGTCAGCCATGACTCACGACTTTCCTCTTCCTGTCGGCTCCTGAATGTCTTCCAGGTTTCTGCTGATCCAGAACCAGAACCAGAACCAGGTTCTTTATGGAGCCATTAAACAGTTTATTGAAATAAGTTCCAGTCTGTCGGTTGAAATCTGTTTTATTCAGTGAATTTACAGTTTCTTCATCAGATGATCCTTGTTCATGAAAGCAGCAGCATCAGGTTGTAAACATTTATTAATCAAATCTGTCCAGATTTAAACATAAACATCTGTAAACAAACTGGTGGTTTTATGACTGAGAACATCTGATTACTAACCAGTTTACGGATCAGACAAACCAAACGGCTGTAAAATCTGATTTCATCACAACAAAATCCATCTCCACTCGTTTTCGGCTCCTGATGACCTTTGACCTGAACCTCAGCAGCATGTGAGTGTTATTTAAAACTCCATGAACCTGGACGGTCCAGGACCTCCTGCTGCTTTTCTCTTTTCCTGAGCGCCTCAAACGGCGCCGCAGCGTTCCTGATGGATAATCATTGATCCTCCAGTTGTGCAGGAAATCATCCGACGGTTCAGTGGTTTCACACTGTGCTGTTACTTTAACTACACCAAACTCTGAACTGCTTCAGTCTGTTTGTTACGTCTCATATTTCAAACTGACAGAACGTCCTTCTTCTTTTCCCTTCAGGCGTCGCCGCAGCCAATCATCTGTCTTCAATTAGACAGATATTACCGAGTTTGGATGACTCTTTCTCTCATGATTCGTTTTCTGACTCGTTTCTCCTCCAGATCTAAAAAACTTCTTTCCATCTAGTCGACTGTTAAAGATCTTTCTGGGCTTAAAACTTTGTGTTTTTAAGGTTAAATATTTTAATTCAATAATATTTTCTAGACAGAAAATAGTTTTAACCACATGTATTCCCACTGTAATTAACTGAAATGAGCCAAATGAGCCTCACAGCCACCAGAGCGCTGCCTTCTGCACATGTAGCATCAGCCTGAAGACCAACAACCTGCTCATTAAACACAGAGAGGAAAAATTAATTTCATCTTTTCATGTTTGTAGTGACGCGTTCAGGTGCTGCTGCTTTACATCCTGATGTCTTATTTTTTAATGTGTTATAAAATATCCTATGAAGAGTTTTGATCTGAATTGTTCAAACAGTAGGTGTACGTTACCTTCTATGCTGATGACATTCAGTTATATCTACACGTATATATTTCTATAGATATACATATGCTCATAGCTATATGTAAATAGATATAGACATTATGTATCATCACATTTTGGGCTTCATGTGCCTTATCTGCATTTAAAGAGACAGAACCAAAGCAAGTTGCTCTCAGAACCGAGGTCCAAGAGGATCATGTAGATCTATGATTTTGCATTAATTCTTCCACAGAATACCCATAAAATGAATTAAAGGTCAGAGGTCATTCGGTCTGTTTTCAGTTTTTCTCATCTCCTTGACAACAGTAATGTTTTATTCTGCGGTCTGTTAAGCATTCACTGCTGCTCCCAGCTGAACATTTAACCAGGTCTGAAATGGACTAACACACACACACACACACACAGACACACACCTCAGAGTACATTCTTCTAAATCAGCGGTCTCCAAACTGGGTCCTGGAGGCCCGGCATCCTGCATGTTTTAGTCTCTCCCTGGTTTAACACACCTGCATCAAATGACGGCTCATTAGAGGCCTGAGAGGAACACTGACCTGCTGAGGAGGTTGTTTCTACCAGCAGGGAGGGAACTAAAACATGCAGGATGCCTCCAGGACCGACTTTGGGCCTCCAGGACCGACTTTGGGCCTCCAGGACCGACTTTGGACACCCCTGTTCTAAAGAGTCAGTTTTTACCGTCACAGCCTGAAATGTCCCATAAATAATCTCTGATCTGCTGTGAGCGTCTGGTTGAATCTGACCAATCAGATCCTCAGCAGCCTGTCTGGTGACAATATTACCTGTTGAGACCAAACTCATCTTTTCCTCCTACTTAATAAAACCTCTGATGACCTTTTGACCCTGGAATCAGAGGTGGATCCTCGATCCAGAACCTGCTGCTGGCAGGTCACCGAACCAAACCGCCTAGTAAACCGGTGACCGGTTTACTAGGTCTCTGTTTAGATACCAATAACAAACATGATGATGATGATGTTTTAAACTTAGTGGTGCTGACGAGGAGGAACGTCTCTTCATCATCATCATCATCATCGACCTTCTTTCTGCAGAAGCTCCAGATGTTCAGCACATCCAGGTTTATTTGAAGCTTCTGAACTGAATGAACTCTGTTCCTAGAGAACTCGGTTCTTCTGACCCGACCCGGTTTACTCTGCTGCTCAGAACCAGGTCAGTATCTTCATCCTGGATCAAATCAGAACCACATTAAACGCTGCAGGTGTTGTATTATCTGGTTCTATAAATAACCCAGCAGCTGGTACCGGTCCAAACACCCGGATCAACCTTCTGGGTTTTTCAAGGTGTTTTCGGTTTGGAGGTAGAGCTGCAGGCCTGAACTCCCCGTGACGGCGCAGCTCCTCTGGGACTCCATGATGCCCCCCGCCCACGCCTGCAGGGTTTTCCTGCGCGTTGGTTGGTCGCCTCCCCACGCGGCGTGGAAACTGAAAGTGTTTCAGTCAGCAGACCACCGTCGACCGCAGCTCGTTTCCACTGCGCTGCTTCACACATGGAGCTTCGTTCTGATCGAACGGCGGTTTGTTTCTGCTAACAGAAGAAAAACTGAAACTTCCTGGTGAAAAGAAACTAAATCAAGACAACCAAACATGTTGGTCAAAAATTCACAAGGTCATGTTGCTAAGACTATTTACTTCAGCATTAAAGTGGAAATGTTATGCTTTGAATTTTTCCATTTCACATTAAAATCATTCAGTTGTGGCTGATATAAATCTGATCTGACATGTTTTGGTCTGAGTTCCTGGCTATCATAGATCCACATGATCCTCTTGGACCTCGGTTCTGAGAGCAACTCGCTTTGGTTCTGTCTCTTTAAATGCAAATAAGGCACATGAAGCCCCGCCCCCATCCACATCGCACCGCTCGCCACTCCACCATTTCTGAAGCTTATTAGCAGATTATCGATGGAGCACTGTCACTGAGAGCATTTGGATTTTTTGATCTCAAACACAAAAACAACAAAAGCAAAGCCAAACTATTTATGTAAATATACTATTCAATACCTGCCTCTGAAGCTAACAGCTAGCATACAACGCTAACATTAAATATGCTATTAAATACATGCTGTACAGTTCTGTCCTCAAGGAGCTAACAGCTAGCACACAGCTAACATTAGCAGAAAACACGATGCTACTGCGAGCCAAACAACAAGATGTCACATCAACACAGTAAATTCATGAATTCATGTCTGAAGCAGTCAGAATGAACAGACTGTTGATCAGGCCAGGCGTTTGGGTGGAGAACGTCCTGGAAGTGCCGGGTTAGATCTGAGTTTCTGGGAAAGTTTGTTTGTCTGAAGCACTTGGAGGACGAATGAAAGCTTCAGAAATCTGATGAGGAGGCAGGAGGACTCAGCTGTTACACCCAACTGTTCAACTTACCTTGTAGTTTTGGCTTCCTTGAATTTGGACTTCAGCATTTCTGGATGGATTTGTGAAATTCCTTACAAGGAAATCCATGACTTGTTAGCAGTTCTGCAGCAAACACTGTGACTTTTTATTCAGTTAGGTTACTTATAACCTAACTGAATATTTTACAGCAATTTTACTATTTTTATTGTGACTTTACAGGAAGTCACAATAAAAACACACTGGAAATGAATATTTAACTAGAGGACACTAAATTCCACTGCTTCAACCAACGGAAGTTAAAAAACACACAAAGTGTTGGTTGGACTAAAAGGTTAGCAATAAATAAACCAATAATTACAAGAACCGACCACAAAGATTTCTACGCAGCATCAGAATAAATTCATCTTTACTGCTCTGCTAGAGACTCAGAGGGAAAATGACTGTAAAAATCTGACATACATTTTGTTTTTTGTACTCTAAGTTCATGTTTGTCCTGTTTAACTGGAGTTTATTTATAAATATAATAACCTTTCTGCCTGGAGACACACTTTCAGCTCCTATTCACCACAAATCTGGAACGAACTTCCAAAAAAACTGCAAAACAGCTGAAACACTGAGACAGAGCTGCTTTTGAAACATAATGATGGAGCATTGATCAGTATATTTACTGAGTATTGATGGTTTGATGCCCCTCATCAGGATGTTTGTTTCTGGTTTCTCTGTGACTGTAAGATGTTTATGACTTTGATTTTTGTGTTTTAAGATGTAAAACACTTTGAGCTGCGTTGTTGATTAAACGGGCAAAACAAATAAACTTGATTGATTGAAGCAGAAATACCTTTTGGAGGAACCCAGAGAAAACGGGGACAGATGGGATTTGAACCTGCAGCCTCTCTGCCAGGCAGCAGAGCTGCACAACTCCATAAAGTTAAAAAAAAAACTTTTAAATTTCAGGTAAAAATGATTTTCAGTGGGTTTTTTCATCTGCATCAGATAAAATTCAGAGAAAAAAGAAACAACAATGACAAAAATCTTCCAAAACAATCAAACATGAGTCACTGAAGGAAACATGACAGATTTTATTTTACACTTTTTAGGGGGAATTTCCCTTTAAACGCTTCAGTCGTTGTGTGAACTGAAGGCAGAAACGTGTGAAATAATTTTAGGCTGAATGTGTCAGAGAGCAGCGTGAGTCACGGTGTGTCCCGCTGCAGAGCGGAGGCAGAGTGAGGCTGAGGGATCACAGCGTCTGGCTGCTGCTCGCCGTAAACATCCGGCCTCTGGAGCCGGAGTGTGACTGAAACCCACAACCTGAGGCCACTTTCCATACAGATGTTTTACACGACTTTCTGTCAGCAGGTAGAAAAACACAGAGTGGAAACTCCAGAAACTCAAGTAAAAGTTTTACAGAAGGAGAAACGAGAGAAACTGGTTCAGCATCTGGAGCCACCAGGACGATTTCAGAGAAATCTGTCAGAAAAACTGTCGATATGTGATATTAATATCGGTGATCTGGCACCGATATTTACTGATGTTATTCATATTAACTGGCTTCTTTTTTAATAGTTCAAACACTAAATATACCTTAATCTGCATTAATACTCACAATGGAAAATGTTTCAGTGATACCACACTCTTCCACTATGGGGGGTTCAGCCAATCAGCACTGAGGAAAATAAACGCTGGTCCTGGATTGGCTGATTTTATTTAATAGTGTTATATTAGCCATCATTGCTATTAAGTATCTGAGCTTCCTAGGTTGTATTATTTTGAACATTTTAGATCTAATCTGAGAAAAATCTGCCAGTTGTCAAATTTTCTGAAGATAATTTGAAGAAACGTTCCACAGAAAATCTGAGAGCAGAATGGAGTTTGTTTCAACACTGTCAAGAAACAAACACCGTGAAGACAGGAAGCTGTGGTCAGTCCTCAGTCCAGGTGGTTCTGATGTCCTCTCTTGTCCCGCTGCTGGTTCTGTCTCTGGATGCTTTGTCCTCTAAACTCTCTGGTTGGTTTTTGCTTCCCAACCCTCTCCAGGCTGCAGGCATCTCTGTTTATAGTGCAGCTTTTCTCCAGCAGACTTTTTCTTTCCACTCAACTTTCCACTGACAGTGTTTATCAGAACTGGACAATTCTGTCAAAAAATCAGATTTTTGATGTGATGCTATAATGATCTGAGTTAACATCTACATATAACAATAAGGTTCGTGATCTGGTCAGATTATTATTATGAACAATGATCGGGTTCTTCCTGAACCCGGTGGATCAGAACCTGCAGTTTCCTAGCAACCATTTATCTCTGTCTGAAGCTCTTTATTTTCCAGAAACATCTCAGAGTTCCTGCTGTCCTCTGTGAACGCTCTGGTTCTGGTTTGTTCCTCTCTAATGGAGGAGTGAACGCTGCAGGTCAACGACTCGATGCGATCTGCTGGGTCTCCTTAGATAGAAACGTTTTTAACTAATTTGAATAATTAGCTGAGCTCTGATTGGATAAATGATCATCAGGTTCATCTCAGCAGCTCACTTTAAAACTTTGAGTTTCACTTTCACTGGTTCTGAACTAAAGAAGGACTTTTATTCTGAAAAACCACCTTATGGAAGCAGGCCTGTTTCAAACTGTTTTTATTCTGCAGATGATCTGTTGGTTCATGAACGAGAGAAAAACCTGACAGAAATGAGAGAGTGCAGACAAACATCCATCCTGCTGCTCCGGCCGCCTGTCAGTCACCAGGAGTTTCCTGTTCTGATCAGGAAGGAAGCTCCTTATATGGAGCTGTAATAATGACACGTTCAGACAACAGAAAACCGATTCAGTCTTAAAACATGTTCAGTATCTCGATAAATTATTAAGTCTGAAAATTATTAACATTTCTGTTTAAAGTGTTGACCTGTTTATAAAGTTTCTAATGTTGAAATTTAGCCAAAAGTTTAAACAACTTTTCAGAAATTATTAGAACTTTCTTCATGTTTTTCTGACAGACAAGACCCGGGCTCATTTACCAGATCCTGACTCATAATGACCTCACAATAATGCAGAATAAAATCTAAAGATTCACTTTTATTTAAGGAGGTTCATTTAACCCTTTCTGCCCCGCTGGGTGAAATGAAGCAGCAGCTGACAGGAAGCGGCGCTGAGCGTTTCTCCACCTGCGGGGCTGCCCCACTATCTGCCTGATAATAAATAAAAACTCTCATTCACGTTTATTTTTAGCAGCTGCAGCTGAAGAAAACGTTGACAAAACTAATAATATCTGACCTGAAAAGAGTCGGTTACAGTGAAAAACTGGATCCAAAACCTCAGGAGATAAACACGAAGCCCTGATGTTCACCACAGGCGTTGTCATGGTTACTGAACAACTGACACGTAAACAATTTCAAAACTGAGAATGTCTGAGACTCATTTACTGACATTAAACTTCCATCAGGACCAGATATTTGGAACAAACAGGTTTAATATTAATTCATGTATTAACCTTCAGTTTGAGGTGATTTGAGCTTCATCCTGCTGGTCAGACAGGTGTGGAGATGGTTTAATATTTTAAACAGTGAAATCGATAACTGCTGCAGAGTTTGATGTTTTCACAGACAGATGAAGTTTGATGAGTTTGAAGCTATGAGGTGTTTCAGTTTGATCCGCTGACTCAGCAGAAAAAGACAACAGGTGGACAGCATGGAGGTTCATCTGGGTCAGAGGTCCTGAACTCCTGCCTCATCTCCTCACAGGGCCAGGCACCACGTACACTGGATCTATTCTGCCCCCTGCAGGCCGCAATGGTCATTACAGGCACAAATCCAACACCAGAATCATAAAACCTGAAACACATACCAAATATTCCTCAGAAGGTAAACAAATATATTTTTAAAACATGAATTAACAGATAGTTAGTATTTATAATTTTATGGCAACATAATTATAAATATTAATTTATTAACTGAGGAAACCTTATAAGACTCTTTGCTCTAACTTAACCCAACCCGGATCACTTTCTCAAAAACAGAAGCCAAAATAAGAACAAAACCTCACCGGTTTCAGAGAATCTCCCCGGCGGAGACAAACCGTCAGTCCAATGTGACACCTGTAAGAAAGTCCTGAAGTCCAAGTCGTACCTGAAGGTCCATCAGAGACGACACACCAGCGAGAATCCGTTAGCCTGCAGTCATTGCGATAAAAGATTTTATCAGATGTACCATCTGAAACATCATGAGCGCAGCGACAAGCTTTACCTCTGCAAAATATGTGGAAGGAGCTTCAGCTACTCCACTCTGTTCAGGTTTCACATGAAGATCCACTCCAATGAGAAACCGCTCAGCTGTGAAACCTGCGGCAAACGCTTCAGGGAGTCGTCCAAGCTGAAACGGCACCAGAGGAGCCATACAGGTGTGAAGCCACACAGGTGTGCCACATGTGGGAAAGGTTTCATGGCTAACAGCAGCCTGCAGAGCCACATGAGGATCAACCAAACAGCCAGACATTTAGAGGAGCTGCAGAAGCAAAGGAGCTGGATTTTCCTGTGAGACCTGTAGGCTTTGGTTCTAGGACAGCATCAACCTGACCGTCCACACCAGGATCCACACCGGGGAGGAGCCATACTCAAAGGTTCAAAGGTTCTTCACACCTGGTCGTCCACATGAGGAGCCACCAGCCGGAGGAAAGGTCTTGACCTCCTCCGCTCTGCTGACAATAACAAAACGACTGGAAACGTCCATGAACTCGTGGCAGCATGCGGCCAGGATGCATCTCAGCTCCATGAAGTAGTCACTCTTCATCCAAAATGATTCACACCCTGGAAGGAACCACTGGAAATGGTTCTGAGTTTATAAACTCATCAACTGATTCGGACCAAAGTGAACGAACTCCAGGTGAGACCTTAACGAGATCCAAAGGTCAGGAGTTCACTCCAGCTGTCACTGAGTTGTATGTTGCAAGGCGGCCATATTGGATTTTGAGGTCAGTGTCGTTGACGAACCTCTTCTGGACCTTCCTGTCAATGTTCTGGTCGTTCTTTGTTTCTACAAAACAACAAGGTGAAGCCGTTTCCCAAGCTGAGAAAGTCCAGTTCAGGTTTTCATTCTGTGGTTAAAACAATTCAGTCTTTAATGACTTTTATTGGACGGGCAGAAATCACAAGGAGTTCCCCAAGGCTCAAACCTGGGACCCCTTCTATATAAAGTCTACATGCTTGCAAGATTAGTTGCCATGACAACCCAGATGATGCACAGCTCTACATTACTGTCTCCAGGATCAGCTCAGTTCTTTCAGAGCAGGTTGTTCTGCTGCCATCTAGTGGCTAACGTAGAATATTTCAAGTTAAATGATGGAATATTAGGTTCACTTACAGAAGGAAAAACTTTTTTTTATTATTTTTATTGGTGGATGTTTGTTTCTGGTTGAACAAAGAGTAGAGATTAGACTATTTAGATTCAAAAGACAAAGTTGAAACATTGATATTAAAGTTGAACTATTAAGAAAACACTCAGAGGGCAAAACATTGAGACAAAGAGACATTTCATGAAAACACCAAACATGTTGATCAGGTTTCAGACGCTGAGTTTAAACTCTTTCACAAGCAGCAGCATCATTTCCAGTCAGGACAGCCACATGTAACCATGGCAACAAGATATTTTTTCCAGAACCAGGAGCAGCTGATTAGCATCTGAAAATCAAATATTACCTGAACTTTGACCCCAGCTACTAGGGGAACTTAACAGGAAGCTTCATGGATGCATGAAGAGAAGAGAGAGAAGAGATCAAGTCAGATCAGATCAGATCAAATGATCTGACCTCATTTGATCAGATCAGATGAGGTCAGATGAGGTCAGATCAGATCAGATCAGATGAGGTCTGATCTGACCCTGATCACATGACCTTATATCTGATCAGGTCAGATCAGGTCAGATCAGGTCAGATCAGATCAGGTCAGATCAGATCAGGTCAGATCAGGTCAGATCAGATCAGGTCAGATCAGATCAGGTCAGATCAGATCAGATCAGATCAGGTCAGATCAGGTCAGATAAGGTCAGATCAGATCTCCCACTCCAACATCTTTCCAACCAAACAGTCAGACTTTTAGAGGAGCTGCAGAAGCAAAGGAGCTGGATCAGCAGTGCTGGCTAACAGCTGATGGAGTCGTTCAGGATGAGTTACTGTGGAACATCGTCTGCTGCCTTTCAGATAAATAAGGAATTTTTATCTGAATTTTTTTTCTCTGTTCATAAACCATGAAGGTGAGTTTGAAATTATTCTTATAAAGATGAAAACAAACTTTTTTTTTTTTTATTAAAAATGTAAAAATTTTATTTGGCCGAAACATCATTAAAAACAATAAAACTGCAGCATCGAGATACAAGGAAACTTAAAGCTCAAAACACATAGCATCAGGTCAAAGGTCAAGAACATCAAAATCCACATCAGTGGGAGGATCTTCCTCACATCCGTACCAAATCATCATCATCATCAACACAGAGGTTCGTTCAGCTTTCTTTGCTCCTGACCTCCATGAAGCAGCTGAAATGTTTGGACCGAAGCTCCACATGCTGCAGGCTGGGATGGACTCACTGACCGCTGCAGGAGTCGCATCATCACATCCAGTGTAAGACTACACACAGCGCAGGGCGGGCGTGTCAGATTAACCAGCTGATGGACACAGAAACACTGGGAGGAAACAACCCTACAGTCGGTTCTGAGTCAAAGAGCTGCAGGACTTCAGGAAACACCAGAGAGACGGAAACGTTTCCGTTCCTACAGAGTTACAGCTGAGATGTCACTGAATCTGGAATAAAAGCAGTTAGTCGTTGTAATTATCACTGCAGCCATGAGGGGGAGCAAGCGCATCTACCATCAGCTCAGTGTTTGAACGTCCAGCGTCGGTTCTACCTAGCATCACAACATCAACTGTAATATCAGAAACGTCCACCAGGGGGCAGAATTAAACCTGAATGCAAACACTGATCTTCGTCCCTTCTTCAACAATAAACATCCTATTTTTGAACTTACAATATAAAAATAATAATAAAAAAATACAAAGTAAAGACAAAAAAACTGAAGTTTTGTTCAGTAGTTCTTCTGAAATTTGGACCTTAACACTTCCTGTCGCTCGGTTCCTACTCAGGGCTGGAGAAGAAGTTAGTTGGCCTGCAGCATGTTCTTGATCTGCTTGGAGGTAGTCTCATCGTTCAGGTGCTTGGTGGTGTACCTGGAGGCAGAGAGAGGTTAGAGGGGGGGTGGATGGATGGATGGATGGATGGATGGATGGATGGATGGATGGATGGATGGATGGATGGATGGATGGATGGATGGACGGATGGATGGATGGATGGATGGATGGATGGATGGACGGTTGGACAGATGGATGTACGGTTGCATGGTTGGATGTACGGTTGGATGTACGGTTGTATGGTTGGACAGATGGATGTACAGTTGGATGGTTGGATGTACGGTTGGATGTACGGTTGGATGGTTGGACAGATGGATGTACGGTTGGATGGTTGGATGTACGGTTGGACAGATGGATGTATGGTTGGATGATTGGATGTACGGTTGGATGATTGGATGTACGGTTGGATGTACGGTTGGATGGTTGGACAGATGGATGTACGGTTGGATGGTTGGACAGATGGATGTATGGTTGGACGGTTGGATGTACGGTTGGATGGTTGGACAGATGGATG